GTTGATATGATTTAAAATGTTCTGCTATTATCTGTTTCAGAAATGAATAGATTAATTTACCTTTGGCCTATCATCCCCTTTTTTCTATAGATGCCTGAACACAAACGTTTTATTCGTTTTGATTTTATTACATTCAGTAGGAAATATAAATCTCGATAATAATAATAAATATTGTTTAGAGTCGACAATATATATCAAGAATCTTACATTTGACCTTATTCTCATGTGTCCAAAACGTCAAGATTTTTAATTTTCAGAGAGAAAAAAAATAATAAATGAAGAGAGCCTTTGATTTGCGTTTCAATTTTCCTCAAAAGACCTTGACCTTCTTTATGAAATGATATCGGATAGACGTTAGGATGCCTACTAACGTTCAAAGTAGGCTATGCAAAGATCCTTTTATCATATGATAATTTTCCTCATTTTATATTATCTATCGGTGTTATAAAATATACAGCAGAAGAAGAAGGAAATAAATCATGAATATAATTAATATAAAGCGAACTAGAAGCGTTAATTTTTTTTAAAGAATTATAAACATTAACAAAACTTAAATATAAACGATTGGTGTCAATTTGTAATTTAGAAACAAAATTAGAATTTCACAATCAACCAAAAAAGAAAAAAATTAACATAAAATTACAACAGTTTTCTCTTCTACTTAATTCTCTTTTTACTTCTAATAGATTAGCTATGAAGATATAAATCATGTGTGTATATACACACTGGAATGAATAGAAACATGCATGTACGCAAATATATTCATTTACATAAATATCCTTCAAAATTAATCGTGACTGTTTTTTTATTTTGGTTTCATTCCATGGCGTTCAAGCTTTGAGGCTTCAGTAGCAGTGGTATTATTCTTATAGTATGGGATTACTAGTCTGACGCCGAACTTTTTCTCTGTCTCTTCTAGGCTTCCTACTGGCTTGTAGACTAAGCGGGATTTGTAAGTGGGTCGACTGGGACCAGACCCTGGACTAGGTTTGTGGTCGGCACACAGTCTACCATTGGACTGCTGATGCTGATTTTTTTGCACAGAACGGTAAAATAACAGGTTTATTTATATAAATTTGGTAGTCATACTAGCCATCTTCTCTTGGAGCTGTAATAAGGTGTTAACTCTACAATACGTAAAACTTACTGGCTCAGTTGTCTGAATATTAAAAGAGGTCTTCAGTACTCATTTTGTATGAGAAGTAAATAACCATGGCTAAATGCCAATGTTGAGTTATGCATTTTATATTCCTCATAGGCTGGTTTTACCTAATTTAACCATCACTAATCAGAAGGGTTTACAGTTTAATATCCAAAATGTCATACAACACCTTCCAATGATATTTCATGTTACGCAGAAACCTCATACAAAATTAATAAATTAGATTTGAATTACTAGTTATAATTTATTATTACGGAGAATAAAAAACACATTTTACGCATACAAAAATGAAAGGATCTATCTATAATTCATAGATGTAAGGCTGATTTCGAGTTTTACACGTTTTGGAGCTGTTTTAGAATTTGTCGAAACCATGCACTGCGGAAGAGTAAACTTCTGGCTTCCCAAGTGGTTTATAATTCTATATTATATGAGTATGTTTCATATGGTGCACAATATTAGGATAGTTTTGACTGAATTTTTCAGCACAATCTATTGTTTAGAACCAAGGCAGTAAACCATTTTCAAAACGTCATCTAGGTAATAGCCTCTTGTTGCTGCTCATTAAATCATAAATCTTATTCAATATCTAGTTCTGTTTTACTGAAAAAGATTTTTAAAGTATGCCTAATTATGAATGTGAAAACGATGAATTTCTTTTACAATGGGCAATCGGGAGTTGTGAGAAATGACGCTTTCATTCAGGATACATGGATTAAATTCCGACCAAATCAACCAACTAGATACATATTAAGGGAAGTAAACCAAGCTGTGTATACAACTAGCAAGAGAGGGGGGTGATTTTTTTCCAGTATTTCTATTTAACCTAAAATCAAAGATAAGTCAGTTTTAGAAGGAGACCTGCAGGGCATGAATTATTCGAACAGATGATGATGCCAACCAATTTATTCACATCACGCTAATTTCCATTTCTAAATTGAACAAAAGCAACCGTCAGAAATCTATTAGTTGACTCTACATCTCTTAAAATTCAACAGTGAATCCTCACATAGAAGACTAATGACTAATATTTAGAAACATACGCGCAACTTTCATTCATATGACTGAAAACATCCATCAGTGCAAAAGAGCATATAATTTTATAACCGAACCAAACTCATGAGACCAGTGATCCCTCAAATACTGGTATGGAGGCCGAAGATGGTCGAATTTTAGTACTGTTGTAACGGTAGAAGACGAAAGATCTGCTAAAGGAATCTTTTGTTTGCAATTCATTATCTCAATAAAGCCAAATTATGTGCACCTTATCTTCAATGCACCATTTGAACAGATCTTCTTGTTGTTCTACTTCTGGACATCATATTGTGTTTCTTTATATTCCTTTACCTTTCCCATGTATCTATACCACGCTGTATCATTTTTCTTATCTGAAATCAATTGTATCCCTTTGCTACTTGATGTTTTACTCCGATGAACATCTCTTTATATGTACTAATGATAAATCTTATCGGTAGCACACTCCACACTGTGAGTTTCCAAACACAATTAGTAAATATTTTCCTTAGCCTCCATAGCTATGACGGCAGATGGTTTCAAATTTTCCAATAAGAAACCATGTTGTTAAAGCCTGAGTTTTTCACTTCAATCCTATTATTACCTCAGCAGCTATGTTCAAAATATATATTCCTAAAACCTTAATAATGTTTAAAACAGTGATTACACTGTTTGGAAAGAAATATCTTGTGCAGGGGGAAATTCTACAATCCATGCATTTTATGTAGTTCAGAAACAAAATCGCTAGCACTGACATAAAAAAGAAAAGAAGCACTTTACAACACAAGGCAAGAGATTACCGTCTGATTTTTTCGTGATTATACGTCATGGACAGGTTGCATCTGGATGACGTTCATCATCATGTAAAGCCGTTAGGGAGATGCAATACTAAAAATGCACTAAATTTTGGTAGACCCCCACGATTCCAGCATCTACGATATTTTCATTTAGGAAATCCCTTGGATAGGAACTATTGTGATTGTTTTATAAATTGACAGATCGCATGCAGTTTTTGTTATGAGTTACTGTTAAATTTTTCAGGGTCATAGTGAGAAGTCTTAACAAATGCGGATCCAAATTACTTGGTACCTAAGTATGCGTTATAAAAAGCAGCGATGTAAGCATATCTGTATATATTCTACCCACTCAGACATATGCAGAACACTCTGCATAATTCGATCATACCGAACAAAGCTTGATCACATGCCCAAGATAATTTAGAGATCTGACATGAATCACTCGACGATTCGGGTGTCATTCGTAAATAAACGAAAAACTTACTATCAGCTTCCAACCTTAGACTCAGGTATTCATTTATACAATGAAAGTGGATCGTAATCACTTTGGTTTTAAAAAATGAACTGAGTCATACCATCTCTGTTTTAGTAGTGATAGATGAGAGAATTTAGTCTTAAGAAACACTAATACATCGTAATACACCTGCTAAACTTTAGCCAAATAAGCTGCTATACAAATCTCACTACTGCAGTTACAGAACCAATTTTCTCTGTACATTGTACTTCGCATTCCACACAATGCCAGTGCTACCTCCATCCGAATTTCTTGCATAAATATTTATTATCTAAACCCCTGTATCAAAATGGTGCCTAAATTTAAACAGTTTAAAATTAAATATATTAACTGTAAATCCATATTATACTAAGCAGATTACCAAAAGAATAAGACTAAATGGAACAATGTATTGGAGCCTTGAGTTATTCTGAAAAATTTTCAGGGGAGAAATTTATCACAGACCGAAAAAAATGAAGGAAAATGTTAAAGATCAAGAAAATATGAGTAAAATATTAAGACCAGTGAATAAGTTGGTGAATGAAACTGCTTCTATTTGCTTAAGTTAATTCTGAGAATTTTAAACACCTCAAACACAAAATTCATAATTTCGTAAACAGTGAATACCAGTGAGTTAATGTTTTATAGTAATAAAACTACATAATGTCGACTGATATAATCGGAAATCAGCGTCACACAAAAAATATTTCCGATTCGTTCATGCAAAATCGTGAGAATTAAAAGAGATCAAATCATGGATTAAGCCCAGTAGGTGACTTTAACAAACATGACATAAAAATTAACATTATTTCATAGTCGTCATAATAATGTTCGATGATGATAATAGTTGATCACTGATTTAAATATCGCAGAACAAATTATTTATAAATGAACACAATAGATTGCAAAGCTCGAATATTTCACAGTATTCAAGATGTTTCACTGATTGAGAAAGCCTATCACAAAGTACACAATGAGGGATATCAGCACCCAAGCTCACAATAATTATAAAATAATTCCAACCTATACGTCGATGATGCCTTTTTATAGTAAATAAATGTTTTATCTACCTAAAACGAACCCAACATGTACTGAAATTGCGCTTTTCGTCCTTAAAAGGATCACTGTAGGTTTAATTATTGCGAAGAAACTTTAAAAACACTATCTGAAATTAAAATAATGCCTCTAGTGCTGAAATAAAGGTGAAAAAATTGACACTATGCGCTGAATTAAGTCTTTTCCTTCTGAAGTAATGCCATTCAGCGCTGAATCTTGGCTGAGGTCTGAAGCAACGCTGATTAGTAAACCCACCAAGATCTGAGCTACTTCTGAAAATGTCTTGAATATGGACAGGGTGCTGAATTAGCGCCAGTCATGCTGAAAATCAGCACTGAGTTCTAGTCTGTCCTCTTTATCAAAACATTTCAGAACAATCTCAAGATTCACTTATAACAGAACGTAACAGTTAGTTTAGAATTAAGAAGATTTCATGCAGCATTACAAGTAAGCTTGCGTCTAATAGGTATTAACTTACTTTCTACATTATTTTTCTTTGCTTCGAGTGAAAGATTGTTAAAGTAGCTAGAAGCGAACTCAACAAGATTATTCGGCTTATCTTTGATGACCTTCTCAGTAAACTTCTCTAATAAATCCGGTAAGCCTTCAGGTATCATTGTAATCGAATACTTATCATGCGAACATGGAAAAACAAATTGCCGCTATTCAAAACAACTACAAAAATTCTATTTTAGCTTATTCAAACTACATGCAACTGCTGGAAGCATCATGAAACGTTTCCACGAGAATTTACTTTATTTTCCTCCTGGATCCTTATTGAATAACATTTTCTAGAAAATTACATCTATTTTATGCAATGTGCTATGCACAAAATGCTCTAGATATCAGGGTTAAATATGTCTTTATTTGATTTCTGTTTTATGCATTAAAATAATTATTATTCCTTGGGTTCCGAGTGGAATATAGGACTTCAAAAACACATCTCCACTTTGTTGTGTTTTCTGCCGTCCTCTTAATCTGGGTCAACGATTGACCATAATCAAACATCTCCTCTTTGCACGATCTCTTCCATGTCACCCTAGGACGACCCACTCGTCTGTTCCTATTCGGATTCCGCCAGAGTTCCTGGCGCGCTATGTCATTCGATGGTTTCCTCAATGTATGCGCGATCCACCTCTATTTTCTCTTACATGTCTAATGAGTGATCGGCTGTTGGTTTGTTTGTTCCCACAATTTCTCGTTGCTAATTCATTCTGGCCACTTTATCTGCGCCAAATGTAACCCTCCAAATACAGGTCATGACTGCTAACTGTTTCATTATCAGATAGTTTCAGTATTTCTTATGACGTATTTATCAACCCAAACGAGTGTTTAAAGATGCCTGTGAGCAGCCACTTATGTGAGAGACAGTGGAGTTGACACTTCAGGTGTTATCTTTGAAGTTACACTAGTTTATCCTTCGCCTTATCTTTGTACTTTTTTATTCAATGCTGTGATTCCTTATAGCTGAAACTTCAGGCAGTCATGCATTCATACTAGATGTAATAGGACAAACATTCCACATGAAATATGTGAAGGCCTAAACCTCCAAATTCGTCAACGGAGGCAGATTCGGGTAGTCTATGATCTCCATCTTATTCACCAACAAATGTTCCGATTATGCAATGAGGGAGTAAGTCTATCTCTGTGACTTTACCAAGGTATAATTGTATCATCTGGACGGTTGGACATTACTGGGATGTGACTGCTCAGTACAAATGAAAGTATCGTGCGGTTAAAATTGGCCGACTTAGTGAAGCGTATGATAAGTACAAGAAATTTTGTGGAGTGCAGAATAATAAGATGAGTAAGTGAGCAGGATTTTGGACAAACATTTTCATAACACTATTGCATCTGAAGTGATTGGCAGATGATGCACCACCTACACCTTCCTGGACCAACAGTTCTTCCTATTTCACCCTTCTTTCCGTCTCTTGGGTTTACTCATCCATCATTTCTGCACTTTACGTGATACACTGCATGATATACAAATATACGAAAAATGTTACTTTAACGTTTTACGTCATATGGACTATTTTAAATCATTCCACTTGATGGGGATTTCTTGATCTTTCCCGAACATTCGCCGTATTTTTACACCTAAATACTCTAATTTCGATAAGTGGCAATATCTGCAACAGAAGAAATATCTTTTTTGAGCAACATATTCTTACTCATATGACCATGTGACTTCGGGCCTAAGCAGAAACATATGCTACTGTTGTTGTGTGAGTCGGCGGTTGCCTTTTGTAATTAAAAACTATTGGATAGAAGATACACATAATATAAGTAACTTTCTGTAATTTCACTATTTACGATTCCTTCTCTATCCACATCTCTCATTATCACATATTTCCTGCCTAAATAGTGACTTGTGTACACAGCAATTAAACTGACTTTCATCATGCTACAAGCAACTCAGTATATTTCTATGGTGACACCGCCACGTGTTTTGAATTAGGAAAATACAGAATAGATTTTTAACTCATATATGTATTTACCATTCCACGGAGGTGATCTTAAACAAAACTGGTGTATTGAATACAGTAATGGCTGCAGTTCAAGTAAGTTTGCCTCAATGAATTAGCCAGTTCAATGGAACTTAGTTCGGTATGATCAAGCTGAATCACTGCACCTCATAACCTTCCTTGAGTGTCATAATATTTGACACAATTTAGTGCGGAAATGCCTGCAGTGGTATGTAACAGTAGTTTTACCAGAAATATAAAAGAAAAAGCACATCATATCAGATCACCATTTTACAGTCAAAAACTTCTCTGGTACGAAGTGCGTGCTACAGAGCAATGAAATGGTTGATTGAATACATGTGTCTAATAGGCTCTGTATTCAATCGCAGTAGAAAGTCTTATATCTTAAAGAACTATTGGCCTTGATTAAAATTCTTTCGAACGCCAAGAGTCACAGAAAGGAATGGAAAATTACTCAGTAAAAGGTAGGAGTGCCGTCAAGCGCACAGTGTAGAGTGAAATTTGAACTACACCGCGATAATGCACTGCCTAAGGATCAAATGTACTTCTAACTTTTAAAGCGATAAGTCCCACTGATTACTCAGTGAAACTTGCCATAATTGGGTTTCGTACAGGTCTAACTATATTCTAAATGTGACAAGAGTTCACTGACATTGGCGCCTTTCTTGTAAACGGCATTTATGGATGTGACGCAGAGGGAGACCAAATTAGTCAAAGTGTTGGGGGATTCTACGGCTAATCTATATTCGAAAGTGACCTCACCTTTATTTTGTGGATATTACTACGTCTCAGTTAATAAACCCAAATATACTAGCATGATTTGATGAAAATACAATAATATACCTTAGACTTTTGAACCCATTGTTTGCTTTAATCCATCACATTGGACATATACCAGTATCAGGTAACATTTTCTGATTAAATTGCAGAAAATTTAACGTGTTTAAAGAATATAATACCATCGACAATATCTGTACCAGAAAAACCATTTTCATGCGAAATTTCATTTAAAAAGCACACAAAAATAAAACTTGTCATTTGACCGCCATAACGATGGTCTACAACTCTACAATTAGTGAGGATTTGTAATAAAGCCACTCGGGAATTATCACCATTTTCTTCGCCAGACACATTTCTAGCTCAGAACTGCAGTATCTCACGAGACTCAGCAAATCTTCAATATGAGTATCAAACTAGACATATTAAGACGAACAATTAAGCATCTCGAGGGGAACCTTTGTAACGGCGGTATTTTTCCTGTGACAGTTAGCCAACACGATGTCAAGTTTACTTATTTATACACGGCTTGGCATGGTTTTGTCTCTGTCCATCACTGGCATTATTACGTACTTTGGAAGTTACTACTTGTTGCAAAGCTGACTAAAGTAGGGACAATTTATAGCTAACCATCAGATGCATTGAAGACTTATTGAAATCTGTCAGTTTGAGGTCTGCTTATGGAGCACATTGGGTGAGATCAACCAGAAAGTCATTTGACATGCTTGCATAGGAAGACATTTCTTTAATATTTTTCGATTCGTGAAATATGGGGCTCCATTCCCACATAGATAGGAATAAATATATATTATCTTATATTATTGTATTATTCACTTATATCTAAATTTTGACATTCGAAGAGTGACTGAGTTTAGCGAAATCTAAAATAATGATTTAAGTTTCAAAAACCCTTTTCAATCCTCGAGAATCCCAATAACTATAATGAGATTTCCTAACCAGCACATAAAGCAAAAAGTAAACTGAAGGGCTAAAAATACTCGGCTGAAGTATGAGACATTATTATATAAATGAGTGGTTTTGATTCACTCAGCATCTAGAATGACAGGAAAGATCAACGAGTTAGTTCAGATGCAATAACCACGGTTAACGTTTACACCGAGTACGACTTTCTACAACATATTTGACAGGATATTATCGATATATGTGTGAGGTGTATCTTAAAGAGTGAATAGAGCACTTGACATCCATGGGAAGTGATTTTCGCTATCTAAAACACACTTAGTCCAAGAACTTAAGGGTGAATAATTCAACGTAAGCGTATATTACTTCCGGCAGACAAACGAGTTCAAATAAGATAAGATTATCGACATTCAACAAATTCATAACAACCAGGTTACCATGAAAAGAACACAACATAAGAATAATATAATTGGTTTGCACGTCATCCTGAGATACGCAGCTTCAACAAGTCCGAGTGTTACATAGGCATTACATATAAGCAGCGGAAAGTTAAAGATCCACATAAGTGTACATCCAAGACAATATGAAGTATTTTCTAAAGTCATTTATAGTGATAAGTAGCAATAGGTAAGCACATACAACCACACATGGTTATATCATTGCAGCTGAGATCTGATTGATGTACCAAATAACTAGAATATGCTAGTGAACAGTGTAGAGTAGCAAACATAAGTTAGATATTCGGTGTGCCTTTGCATATTTGAAATCAAAAGATACATACCACAATCTGCGGGATAGCACTCTGTTAAAATAAGGCTCCTAAGTCATAATGAAAAAATAGCAAATATTTTAGCTCGAAGATGAACAAATACGAGCACAAATACATATTACGAATCGGTTGGGCCTCCGAAAAAGGTATGTCATGGCAATTCGGGTTTAGGCCGTGATTAAGGAATTCAGAATGATGATGTGAATGACCAAGCGGGGATCATGTCCCCCTTACGATTTGCTAGGCTTTGTTCATCTTTCAAATGATGAATGCCCTTGCGTGTGTCTAATGGGGTTTCCCGTTTCACTTGCCCACTTCAGTGCCTTAAAATAATTTAAAATTAGGATCAGTCTCCTCCAATGATACCAGCTGTTACTGTGATATAAATTTCGGCTTCTGAAGTGAGGAATATTGTGACACCCTAATGAGTCATGCACCACTAGGATATCTTCCATCATCCAGCTCCCTCCCCATAGTGGTCACAAGCATAATTATTTTCTAAGTCTTCCTGAACACAGGTCATATGCTGAGGGTGGAAGACCCTATACTTCTCACTCCACCAACTGTTAACTATTGTTGGCTCAGGAACCACGTACACAGGAACTTACCAACCATAAATCGTCTCCCTGAAAAATGTACCGAATACATCATTCGAATTCCTAATTGCCAAGTCGTTAGCGATGTATCCATGGTTTGAATTTCGTGCTCGGGGCAATTTAACTCCCAGAATT